ACCGATCTTGTCACGGCTACGACGACAAGACGACGACGGCGAACGGGCGACGCCTGGCAGTATCGGTGTCACGAACGTGGCTGGCCCGCGCCCTCCCACCCAGGTGGTGTTCCAAGGACTTGTGACTGCAAGGCCTCGTCCATCTTCGACGTCAGCGCTGGCATCTCCCTCAGCGACACCTTTGTCAAGCTGGTGTCCTGGTACGACAACGAGTGGGGCTACTCCAACCGCCTCGTGGACCTGTGCTGCCACATGGCCAAGGTTGACGGCGCCTGATCCGTTCCCGACTCTTTGGGAGCGCGATGCGCCGTGATTTTTCACTACCTTGCCCGCACTGTTCAAAGTCTTCCGGCAGTCCAGCCTTCAGTTTTGCACAAGGTGCGAGATCAGCTCTCGGCTTGCAAGGCGTAGGACTGCCCCGGACGTCGCGCTGCTTCGATTGCGGGGCAGCCAGAGATTTTCACAATCGCGTCGCAGTCGCAAAACGCTTCCTAGCCCTCTCGCGCAGTTCTGGTGTGCTGCATCCTACTTTAGCCGTCCGTAATTTTGGAGTTTCGTTTTGCACATGCTGCTGCTCTGTTCTCCTTCCTCCTTTTCCGCCTCATCCATCCTGGTCTCTTCTCCCTTGCTTCTCCCTTTTCGCGCTCCCTGCTTGTCTCGCTTGCCTGATTGATGCGAGACGCAGGCCACAAAGAAGTCTCCAAGATGCCCCCAGGCGGGCCTCAAGAGGCCCCCGAGAGGCCCACTAGAGGCCCCAAGAGGCATCCAAGAGGCCCGAAAAAGGCCTCCAAGCGGCCTCCAACGACACCTCAGCACAGCAGTCCAGGCACGAAAAAAAACCCACACACGGAAGACACCCAAGAAAATTCAAGGAGCATGGCATCCCAGCACGGCAAGCAACGGCAGCCGCACTCGTCGGGCCTGGAGTCCCCTCCCTTCGGTATCCCTTAGATGAGGGAGTGGGGGGAGTCTTTCTTGCGAACATGGGATGGGGGTGGGTACCCCCTCCCCGACCGCGACGGGGAAGAAGGGGTTGGAAGAGAACGCGCCCGACCACACCTCAGCCCTGAAGGGCTGGTTGGGACTAGCTCCAGTTTTGGTTCAGGCCGTTCTGCTCCAGATTAGTTTTCCCCTGCCCACTCCTGCCTGCGAGCTACTTGAACACCATGCGGCCACGTTGGGAATCAACGGCTTCGGCGCGCATCGGCCGCCTAGAGTGCCGCGCGGCGCTCCCCCCGCAAACCCTGAGGTGCAGCTGAAGGCCATCAACGATCCCTTCATGGACCTCGAGTACATGGTCTACATGCTCAAGTACGACTCCGTGCACAAGCGCTACCCGGGCATCATCGCCACGAAGGTGGCCGACGGCAAGGAGTTCCTGGTCGTGGACGGCAAGGACATTGCGGTGTTCCACGAGAAGGACCCGGCGTCCATCCCGTGGGGCGCCGCGGGCGCCAGCTACATCTGCGAGTCCACCGGCGTGTTCACTGCCCAGGAGAAGGCTGAGCTGCACATCAAGGGTGGTGCCAAGAAGGTCATCATCTCTGCTCCTCCCAAGGACGCTGTCCCGATCTACGTCGTCGGCGTGAACCACACCGAGTACAAGGCCTCGGACACCGTGGTGTCGAACGCGTCCTGCACCACGAACTGCCTGGCCCCGCTGACCAAGGTGGTGCACGAGAAGTTCGGCATCGTGGAGGGTCTCATGACCACGGTGCACGCGATGACGGCCACGCAGCTCACGGTGGACGGCCCGTCCCGCGGCGGCAAGGACTGGCGCGGGGGCCGCTGCGCCTCGCAGAACATCATCCCGTCCTCCACAGGCGCCGCCAAGGCGGTGGGCAAGTGCCTCCCGGCGGTGAACGGCAAGCTCACAGGAATGGCTTTCCGCGTGCCCACGCCGGACGTGTCCGTGGTGGATCTGACGTGCCGCCTGGAGAAGGGCGCGAAGTACGACGAGATCGTGGCAGCCGTGAAGGAGGCCGCCGCGGGCCCGATGAAGGGCGTCCTGGACTGGACCGACGAGGAGGTGTCGGGGGACGCCAATCATCCCTGGGTCGCCGGCTGGGGGCGGGAAGAGAGCCGCGCTTCGCGCGTCGCGGTCTGGGCCCGAGAGCTGGCCTTGTCCAGGAGGGCTGCGCGAGGGCTCGAAGGCAGCCGCGCATGGCGGGGCGCGATGCGCACGGTCAGGCCACCTGGTATCCGCCGGCAGCAGGCCGTCACCGAACGTGGCGACCGACCCTGGCCCAGAAATCGTGCGCAGCTCCTGGCGAAGGCCCCGGGGGGAACTCGCACCCCCGATCTTGTCACGGGCGGTGAACGACGAAGAACCGACGAACGGCGACGCGGCGACGCCTGGCCAGTAATCGGTTGTCACGACGTGGCTGGCCCGGCCGCGCCCTCCCACCAAGGTGGTGTCCACGGGACTTTGTGAGCTGCAACGGCCTCGTCCATACTTCGACGTCAAGCGCTGGCATCTCCCTCAGCGGACAACCTTTGTCCAAGCTGGTGTCCCTGGTGTACGACAACGAGTGGGGCTACTCCAACCGCCTCGTGGACCTGTGCTGCCACATGGCCAAGGTTGACGGCGCCTGATCCGTTCCCGACTCTTTGGGAGGGCGATGCGCCGTGATTTTTCACTACCTTGCCCGCACTGTTCAAAGTCTCCGGCAGTCCAGCCTTCAGTTTTGCACAAGGTGCGAGATCAGCTCTCGGCTTGCAAGGCGTAGGACTGCCCCGGACGTCGCGCTGCTTCGATTGCGGGGCAGCCAGAGATTTTCACAATCGCGTCGCAGTCGCAAAACGCTTCCTAGCCCTCTCGCGCAGTTCTGGAGTGCTGCATCCTACTTTAGCCGTCCGTAATTTTGGAGTTTCGTTTTGCACATGCTGCTGCTCTGTTCTCCTTCCTCCTTTTCCGCCTCATCCATCCTGGTCTCTTCTCCCTTGCTTCTCCCTTTTCGCGCTCCCTGCTTGTCTCGCTTGCCTGATTGATGCGAGACGCAGGCCACAAAGAAGTCTCCAAGATGCCCCCAGGCGGGCCCCAAGAGGCCCCCGAGAGGCCCACTAGAGGCCCCAAGAGGCATCCAAGAGGCCCGAAAAAGGCCTCCAAGCGGCCTCCAACGACACCTCAGCACAGCAGTCCAGGCACGAAAAAAACAGCACGGAAGACCAGCCAAGAATAATATCAAGGAGCATGGCATCCCAGCACGGCAGCACGGCAGCCGCACTCGTCGGGCCTGGTGTCCCTCCCTTTCGGTATCCTTGATGAGGCGAGTGGGGGAGTCTTGCGACATGGGATCGGGGGAGGGGTACCCCCCCCCCGCGACGGGGAAGAAGGGGGTTGGAAGAGGAACCGCGCCAGACCACCTCAGCCCTGAAGGGCTGGTGGGATTAGCTCCAGTTTTGGTTCAGGCCGTTCTGGCTCCAGATTAGGTTTCGCCCTGCCCTCCTGCCTGCGAGGCTACTTGAATCACCTGCCGGCCACGTTTGGATCCACGGCTTCCGGCCGCATCGGCCGCCTAGTGTGCCGCGCGGCGCTCCGGCAACCCCCCCGGGGCAGTCTTAAGGCCATCAACACCCCTTCTATTGGACCTCGAGTACTGGTCTAACATGCTCAAAGTACGACTCCGTGCCAAGCGCTACCCGGGCACCATCGCCACGAAGGTGGCCGACGGCAAGGAGTTCCTGTCGTGGACGGCAAGGACATCGCGGTGTTCCACGAGAAGGACCCAGCGTCCATCCCGTGGGGCGCAGCGGGCGCCAGCTACATCTGCGAGTCCACCGGCGTTTTCACTGCACAGGAAAAGGCTGAGCTGCACATCAAAGGCGGTGCCAAGAAGGTCATCATCTCTGCTCCTCCCAAGGACGCTGTCCCGATCTACGTCGTCGGTGTGAACCACACGGAGTACAAGGCCTCGGACACCGTGGTGTCGAACGCGTCCTGCACCACGAACTGCCTGGCCCCGTTGACCAAGGTGGTGCACGAGAAGTTCGGTATCGTGGAGGGTCTCATGACCACGGTGCACGCGATGACGGCCACGCAGCTCACGGTGGACGGCCCGTCCCGCGGCGGCAAGGATTGGCGCGGGGGCCGCTGCGCCTCGCAGAACATCATCCCGTCCTCCACAGGCGCCGCCAAGGCGGTGGGCAAGTGCCTCCCGGCGGTGAACGGCAAGCTTACAGGAATGGCTTTCCGCGTGCCCACGCCGGACGTGTCCGTGGTGGATCTGACGTGCCGCCTGGAGAAGGGCGCGAAGTACGACGAGATCGTGGCAGCCGTGAAGGAGGCCGCCGCGGGCCCGATGAAGGGCGTCCTGGACTGGACCGACGAGGAGGTGTCGAGGGACGCCAATCATCCCTGGGTCGCCGGCGGGGGCGGGAAGAGAGCCGCGCTTCGCGCGTCGCGGTCTGGGCCCGAGAGCTGGCCTTGTCCAGGAGGGCTGCGCGAGGGCTCGAAGGCAGCCGCGCATGGCGGGGCGCGATGCGCACGGTCAGGCGACCTGGGTATCCGCCGGCAGCCGGCACCGATCGTGGCCGAGCCGACCCTGGGCCCAGGATCGGTGCGCGAGCCTCCTGGCGAGGCCCGGGGGGAACCGCACCCACCGATCTTGTCACAGCGACGACGACGAAGACGACGACGGCGACGGCGACGCCTGGCCAGTATCGGTGTCACGACGTGGCTGGCCCGCGCCCTCCCACCAAGGTGGTGTCCACGGACTTTGTGAGCTGCAAGGCCTCGTCCATCTTCGACGTCAGCGCTGGCATCTCCCTCAGCGACACCTTTGTCAAGCTGGTGTCCTGGTACGACAACGAGTGGGGCTACTCCAACCGCCTCGTGGACCTGTGCTGCCACATGGCCAAGGTTGACGGCGCCTGATCCGTTCCCGACTCTTTGGGAGCGCGATGCGCCGTGATTTTTCACTACCTTGCCCGCACTGTTCAAAGTCTTCCGGCAGTCCAGCCTTCAGTTTTGCACAAGGTGCGAGATCAGCTCTCGGCTTGCAAGGCGTAGGACTGCCCTGGACGTCGCGCTGCTTCGATTGCGGGGCAGCCAGAGATTTTCACAATCGCGTCGCAGTCGCAAAACGCTTCCTAGCCCTCTCGCGCAGTTCTGGAGTGCTGCATCCTACTTTAGCCGTCCGTAATTTTGGAGTTTCGTTTTGCACATGCTGCTGCTCTGTTCTCCTTCCTCCTTTTCCGCCTCATCCATCCTGGTCTCTTCTCCCTTGCTTCTCCCTTTTCGCGCTCCCTGCTTGTCTCGCTTGCCTGATTGATGCGAGACGCAGGCCACAAAGAAGTCTCCAAGATGCCCCCAGGCGGGCCCCAAGAGGCCCCCGAGAGGCCCACTAGAGGCCCCAAGAGGCAGCCCCCGAGAGGCCCACTAGAGGCCCCAAGAGGCATCCAAGAGGCCCGAAAAAGGCCTCCAAGCGGCCTCCAACGACACCTCAGCACAGCAGTCCAGGCACGAAAAAACGCAGCACGGAAGACCAGCCAAGAATAATTTCAAGGAGCATGGCATCCCAGCACGGCAGCACGGCAGCCGCACTCGTCGGGCCTGGTGTCCCTCCCTTTCGGTATCCTTGATGAGGCGAGTGGGGGAGTCTTGCGACATGGGATCGGGGGAGGGGTACGCCCCCCCCCGACGGGGAAGAAGGGGGTTGGAAGAGGAGCCGCGCCAGACCACCTCAGCCCTGGAGGGCTGGTGGGACTAGCTCCAGTTTTGGTTCAGGCCGTTCTGGCTCCAGATTAGGTTTCGCCCTGCCCTCCTGCCTGCGTGCTACTTGAACTTCATGCCGGCCACGTTGGGAATCAACGGCTTCGGCCGCATCGGCCGCCTGGTGTGCCGCGCGGCGCTCGGCAACCCGGAGGTGCAGCTGAAGGCCATCAACGACCCCTTCATGGACCTCGAGTACATGGTCTACATGCTCAAGTACGACTCCGTGCACAAGCGCTACCCGGGCACCATCGCCACGAAGGTGGCCGACGGCAAGGAGTTCTTGATCGTGGACGGCAAGGACATCGCGGTGTTCCACGAGAAGGACCCGGCGTCCATCCCGTGGGGCGCCGCGGGCGCCAGCTACATCTGCGAGTCCACCGGCGTGTTCACTGCCCAGGAGAAGGCTGAGCTGCACATCAAGGGTGGTGCCAAGAAGGTCATCATCTCTGCTCCTCCCAAGGACGCTGTCCCGATCTACGTCGTCGGCGTGAACCACACCGAGTACAAGGCCTCGGACACCGTGGTGTCGAACGCGTCCTGCACCACGAACTGCCTGGCCCCGCTGACCAAGGTGGTGCACGAGAAGTTCGGCATCGTGGAGGGTCTCATGACCACGGTGCACGCGATGACGGCCACGCAGCTCACGGTGGACGGCCCGTCCCGCGGCGGCAAGGACTGGCGCGGGGGCCGCTGCGCCTCGCAGAACATCATCCCGTCCTCCACAGGCGCCGCCAAGGCGGTGGGCAAGTGCCTCCCGGCGGTGAACGGCAAGCTCACAGGAATGGCTTTCCGCGTGCCCACGCCGGACGTGTCCGTGGTGGATCTGACGTGCCGCCTGGAGAAGGGCGCGAAGTACGACGAGATCGTGGCAGCCGTGAAGGAGGCCGCCGCGGGCCCGATGAAGGGCGTCCTGGACTGGACCGACGAGGAGGTGTCGAGGGACGCCAATCATCCCTGGGTCGCCGGCGGGGGCGGGAAGAGAGCCGCGCTTCGCGCGTCGCGGTCTGGGCCCGAGAGCTGGCCTTGTCCAGGAGGGCTGCGCGAGGGCTCGAAGGCAGCCGCGCATGGCGGGGCGCGATGCGCACGGTCAGGCGACCTGGGTATCCGCCGGCAGCCGGCACCGATCGTGGCCGAGCCGACCCTGGGCCCAGGATCGGTGCGCGAGCCTCCTGGCGAGGCCCGGGGGGAACCGCACCCACCGATCTTGTCACAGCGACGACGACGAAGACGACGACGGCGACGGCGACGCCTGGCCAGTATCGGTGTCACGACGTGGCTGGCCCGCGCCCTCCCACCAAGGTGGTGTCCACGGACTTTGTGAGCTGCAAGGCCTCGTCCATCTTCGACGTCAGCGCTGGCATCTCCCTCAGCGACACCTTTGTCAAGCTGGTGTCCTGGTACGACAACGAGTGGGGCTACTCCAACCGCCTCGTGGACCTGTGCTGCCACATGGCCAAGGTTGACGGCGCCTGATCCGTTCCCGACTCTTTGGGAGCGCGATGCGCCGTGATTTTTCACTACCTTGCCCGCACTGTTCAAAGTCTTCCGGCAGTCCAGCCTTCAGTTTTGCACAAGGTGCGAGATCAGCTCTCCGCTTGCAAGGCGTAGGACTGCCCCGGACGTCGCGCTGCTTCGATTGCGGGGCAGCCAGAGATTTTCACAATCGCGTCGCAGTCGCAAAACGCTTCCTAGCCCTCTCGCGCAGTTCTGGAGTGCTGCATCCTTACTTTTGCCGTCCGTAATTTTGGAGTTTCGTTTTGCACATGCTGCTGCTCTGTTCTCCTTCCTCCTTTTTCGCCTCATCCATCCTGGTCTCTTCTCCCTTGCTTCTCCCTTTTCGCGCTCCCTGCTTGTCTCGCTTGCCTGGTTGATGCCAGACGCAGGCCACAAAGAAGTCTCCAAGAGGCCCCCAGGCGGGCCCCAAGAGGCCCCCGAGAGGCCCACTAGAGGCCCCAAGAGGCATCCAAGAGGCCCGAAAAAGGCCTCCAAGCGGCCTCCAAGGACACCTCAGCACAGCAGTCCAGGCACGAAAAACGCAGCACGGAAGACCAGCCAAGAATAATATCAAGGAGCATGGCATCCCAGCACGGCAGCACGGCAGCTGCACTCGTCGGGCCTGGTGTCCCTCCTTTTCGGTATCCTTGATGAGGCGAGTGGGGGAGTCTTGCGACATGGGATCGGGGGAGGGGTACGCCCCCCCCCCCCGACGGGGAAGAAGGGGGTTGGAAGAGGAGCCGCTTCAGACCACCTCAGCCCTGGAGGGCTGGTGGGACTAGCTCCAGTTTTGGTTCAGGCCGTTCTGGCTCCAGATTAGGTTCCGCCCTGCCCTCCTGCCTGCGTGCTACTTGAACACCATGCCGGCCACGTTGGGAATCAACGGCTTCGGCCGCATCGGCCGCCTGGTGTGCCGCGCGGCGCTCGGCAACCCGGAGGTGCAGCTGAAGGCCATCAACGACCCCTTCATGGACCTCGAGTACATGGTCTACATGCTCAAGTACGACTCCGTGCACAAGCGCTACCCGGGCACCATCGCCACGAAGGTGGCCGACGGCAAGGAGTTCCTGATCGTGGACGGCAAGGACATCGCGGTGTTCCACGAGAAGGACCCGGCCTCCATCCCGTGGGGCGCCGCGGGCGCCAGCTACATCTGCGAGTCCACCGGCGTGTTCACTGCCCAGGAGAAGGCTGAGCTGCACATCAAGGGTGGCGCCAAGAAGGTCATCATCTCTGCCCCTCCCAAGGACGCTGTCCCGATCTACGTCGTCGGTGTGAACCACACCGAGTACAAGGCCTCGGACACCGTGGTGTCCAACGCGTCCTGCACCACGAACTGCCTGGCCCCGTTGACCAAGGTGGTGCACGAGAAGTTCGGCATCGTGGAGGGTCTCATGACCACGGTGCACGCGATGACGGCCACGCAGCTCACGGTGGACGGCCCGTCCCGCGGCGGCAAGGACTGGCGCGGGGGCCGCTGCGCCTCGCAGAACATCATCCCGTCCTCCACAGGCGCCGCCAAGGCGGTGGGCAAGTGCCTCCCGGCGGTGAACGGCAAGCTCACAGGAATGGCTTTCCGCGTGCCCACGCCGGACGTGTCCGTGGTGGATCTGACGTGCCGCCTGGAGAAGGGCGCGAAGTACGACGAGATCGTGGCAGCCGTGAAGGAGGCCGCCGCGGGCCCGATGAAGGGCGTCCTGGACTGGACCGACGAGGAGGTGTCGGGGGACGCCAATCATCCCTGGGTCGCCGGCGGGGGCGGGAAGAGAGCCGCGCTTCGCGCGTCGCGGTCTGGGCCCGAGAGCTGGCCTTGTCCAGGAGGGCTGCGCGAGGGCTCGAAGGCAGCCGCGCATGGCGGGGCGCGATGCGCACGGTCAGGCGACCTGGGTATCCGCCGGCAGCCGGCACCGATCGTGGCCGAGCCGACCCTGGGCCCAGGATCGGTGCGCGAGCCTCCTGGCGAGGCCCGGGGGAAACCGCACCCACCGATCTTGTCACAGCGACGACGACGAAGACGAAGACGACGACGGCGACGGCGACGCCTGGCCAGTATCGGTGTCACGACGTGGCTGGCCCGCGCCCTCCCACCAAGGTGGTGTCCACGGACTTTGTGAGCTGCAAGGCCTCGTCCATCTTCGACGTCAGCGCTGGCATCTCCCTCAGCGACACCTTTGTCAAGCTGGTGTCCTGGTACGACAACGAGTGGGGCTACTCCAACCGCCTCGTGGACCTGTGCTGCCACATGGCCAAGGTTGACGGCGCCTGATCCGTTCCCGACTCTTTGGGAGCGCGATGCGCCGTGATTTTTCACTACTTTGCCCGCACTGTTCAAAGTCTTCGGCAGTCCAGCCTTCAGTTTTGCACAAGGTGCGAGATCAGCTCTCCGCTTGCAAGGCGTAGGACTGCCCCGGACGCCGCGCTGCTTCGATTGCGGGGCAGCCAGAGATTTTCACAATCGCGTCGCAGTCGCAAAACGCTTCCTAGCCCTCTCGCGCAGTTCTGGAGTGCTACGTAATTGTTTCTTTCCTCCGTCATTTTTCTGAAACATTTCTTGCATTGTGGGCTTCTTATTTTTCCATGCGGAACTGGGCCCCAGTCCCCAGTGTCGGGGTTGTCGCCGTCACCGACCCGTCTCCGTCTCGTCGCCGCCCGTCGTCTGGGCCCTG